TTCAATTCTAAACAATATCCTAAAATAATCAATAGCTTTTAAAATTATTCATGACATTCGAAAACATGATAATAGTATTTTTATTATTTCTTTTTCTTTGATCTTTTCTATCTTTCTATAAAAAAATAATGATAAAAGATAAAAGGAGTTTCAATTTTAGTTAATAGACTACATTTAAAACATTAAATAATGGACAAAATCATACTTTAAGAGCATATGGTTAAACACACACACACATTATATGAGATTATATTAATAATATTTCTAATAGCTTATTTTCATTTTTTATTTTGTTATCAGTGTCTAAAAAAAATATTAATTAGAATTCAATTTGATAATGATGCATTGATATTATAATTTTACACAATCATCTGATCACAATTTATAATATATGATAGTTTATTAATTTTTATGATAATTACCTTAATGATATGTTTGACAAAAAGAAAGTAGTAAAGAAGAGGAAGAAAATGTAGTGAAGTGTGAAAAAATAAAAAATTTGAATGTGTTTGATTAGAGAAAATTGAAGGGAATTATAGGTAACATTTTGTGAACTTCACTTTAAAAAACTTCCCCTAAAAAAATGAGGAGAAATGTGTGAAATTTGGTTCCAATTATATTAATCCTCTTTTCTAATATTTTTAGATTATCTTTTTTTTTTCTTCAATTTATATAAATATTATTTATATCATACCCATTTCATTCTATTTTTTTACTTAATTTAATTAATCCTAATAAACCAATTTCGATAGCTAATTGTGTAAATCATTTTACACTTTACAATGTACGAGCATAACTATTAAATTCATTAGTATTTACATTAAGATTTTAATGAATTTCAGAAATTAACTTAAAATTGATTTTATCCTATCTATTAGATAAGCATTCATTTTGAGTGTTTTTTATTAATAAGTTAAAAAAATAAAAATTATAATCAATTTTAAATTTCTAGGTATATATGTATAGTTTTATTTTATTTTTAATTACAAAATGAATTCATTTCCTATTTTATTAAATAATAAATTAATAATATTAAAAATAATTGAAGTAATTTTCTATAAAAATAACAATAATTAAGTTATAAATAAACTAAATAAATTAAAACTAAGTCTTTATTTCTTCTCGACTTGCGTTTAAAAATTTCAATTAAAATCATTTAAAAAATGATTTAAATTTAGACATATCATTTTTTCATACGATAAATTTTAAAAACATTATAAATTTCAAATACCAAGAATTTTAAAGTCATTTTAGTTATAAATTTGAAATGCGTAATGTCTTAAACTCGAACTGTCATGATTATAATTTCTATATGAAAAATTTAAATTTCAAATGGTGAACTTGGTTTACACTCACCAGAGAGGACCCAAAATAGTTAGGGGATTCTTTCCACAACCTTGTTGCCTATTGCGTATCAAATTTACCGTGGCGTATGGCGTATACCATTAATTAGGTTAGGTGACGGTTCTTTTTGCGATGATAACACAAAACATGACGAACTACGTACACAAAAATTTCTGGCCGATCCAAAATTGACCAAATCGATGGTTAGATAGGATAAAGTGGATTGATCAAGTATTTTGAATTTTTTCAGATGCAACTTTCAGGTTTAAATGGATTTGAACAGCCGGATTTGGTGTTGGAATTTTTTCATCCGATGTACTCAAATCCGACGGTTTATCTTCTTCGTCTTCACCATTTCATCTTCTTTTATTTCTTCTTCTTTCTTTTTCTTTTTCACTCTGTAAAAATCCTCTTCTCTTCAACCTTTCCCTGCTATGATCACCGTTGCTGAAAAGCAGTGACGGAGACCGACGAAGAGTACGATGGAGGGCAGCATGAGACACTAAAGGAAGCTTCTCAAATCAATAAACCTGTAATCCGCACGAATTGAACCCGCCAAAACTCGTGTTTTTCGCCAATTAAAAATAGCCCTTAATTTTTCTTAATTGATTTTGGACAATTTTAAGAATCTCAATCCAAAATCGGCCGTGACCGACCGATGCTCAGGCGTAATGGACCGTATACTCCGTAGTCCGTACCCATACGACGTACATAAACTTTCTGAATTTTAAGACAATGGGCCTCTAATTCTGCCAACACCCGACACTTACAACCTGTGACCTCTGACTGCGACGCACTCGTGTACTTCATTGTTGTGCAATCATTTATATATATATATATAAATAATAAAGTGCCACATGATTAACAAATAAAAATTTATCCTTTAATAATTTATTGGGGGTTGCTACTGTACCCCTGATAAATGAGGAGTTTTGGTATTGTAGTTGATGTGTATCTGATATGTATGTACATATCATTTAAATGTCATGTCAGCCTTTTAAATAAGAATTATTTTATATTTAAATTTTTACATTATTTATTTTTAAGTTTTTATTAATATTTTTATAATTATACGATCTCCTTTCCTCTCCGTCTCCCACCTCTCCCTCGCCCCTTCGTCTCCCACTCCCCTAACCTGGATCATTTAAGTAGTATTTATTGAAAAGTTGCTTATACCCCTTAAAAATTAGAATAGATTGGAGGGTTCACTTACTGCTATAAGCCTCAAATTTCGTATTGAATCTCCTAGAGCGCTCCAGAGTTCTTTGAACAAATTACTTTGTCTGTAGAAGGATAAGTCACAAGAGGAAATGGATTTAGAGAAATCAAACAAACATCATAGAAATAGCATATCTCAAATTATTGACATCTGCAGTTTGATTTATCCATAAAATTTGCCGAATCATTTCAATCCCTTCCTCTGAAAAATGAAAATAAAAAGGAAAAACTCATCTATGAGGACATGATTCTAAACGCCCAAGGACCACCACGCCCGTCCCAACGCCACCTCCGCCTCCGCCGGCGACGGGGCCACAGAAAGAACACAGGCCTATGCGTCCTGTCCGGTTCGGGAACCGTCACCAACGTCACTCTCCGTCAACCCTCTGTCACCCCCGGAGCCACCGTCACTTTCCACGGCCGCTTTGATGTCCTCTCCCTCTCCGCCACGCTCCTCCTCCACGACTCGCCAGCAATCGCGGTCTCCGCCTTCGCCGTCTTGCAAAAAAAAATAAAAATGTGAACTTCATATTAACTGACGTGGATGTAAATTTTAAATAATTAAAAAATTATAAATAATTTGGATTTACATGTAAGTGACACATCATCAACAATACCAGTACCCATCTTTTATAGAGGGTACCGTAGAAATTCTCTAATTTATTTGGTAGTAAGAATGAATGAATGTTTAAAGAAATGGTGGGAAAAAATTGAGAAAAAAAAAATAGATAAAAATAAAATAGAAATTGAGATTGTTTTGTAAGAGAGAAGTAAAAAAGAATTGGAAAAAAAGATTATTATTTCTTTTATATTTGATTAAATAAATAAGTTATCATGATATTATATATTAGTTTAAAAAATAACCTCTACCATTAAATAGTCAGTTTAAGTTTTTTTAATTATAATTATGAGTATATAATCATTTATGATCAACACAATTAATTATACAACTTCCAACAAAGACAAAAATGCAAGAGAAATAATACAAAGGGTTGGTATTGGTGGAAGTAGTGATGTGATGATAATAGTGGTGGTAGCGACAATGACAATAGTGGTGGTGGTGGTAGCAGTAGTTGTGACGATGGTGATGGTGATAGTGGTGGTGATGGTGGAAATGACAAAGACGGTGGTGGTGGTGACAACAACGATGGTGATATAATAGTAGTGCGATGGAGATGGTGATAGTTTCAATAACAAGAATGAGGGCAACAATAGTAAAGAGAACTATGATGACGACAATACATAACAACATCTTTTAATTTAAGTTGTTTATTTTAATCTAAGAGTTGTTCTTAGTTGTTATATATATATATATATATATTCACACACATGGATGGATCCGTTTACTCTTAGAGTAAATATATTTATACTTACTCTATTTAATAATTTATATTTTACATCAAATTTTAATTATCCAATTGTTGAATTCAAAGTTCTTAATATATATAGATCAAGTCTGCAAATATTTTAAAATTTAAAAATTATTTGATACTTTATTTCATCAATTCAAATCAATATATAAAATAATTTTATTATTATTTGTCAATTTGAATTAATGAAATGAAATATCAAATGATTTTTAATTTTTTTTTACATTTGCAAACTTGATCTATGTATTAAAACTTTAAATTCAACAGTTGAATCGTTAAAATTTGATATAGAACATAAGTTATTAAACAGAATAAGTTTAGATAAACTTACTCTTAGAATAAATAGATATATATTTTCTCTCTCTATATATATATTTAGATCTATAAACACATTATATATGAGACTTTTGAGTAATAAATCAACAAATAAAGGAAAAATAGTATTATCTCATATTAGTACAAATCGCTATCCAAGGCGGGTAAAGGAGACCCTCATCAAGGCTGTTTTGCAAGCACTACCTTCATATGCTATGAGTGTCTTTTTGATTCCCTCTTGCACCATTGATGAGATTGAGAAATTTCTAAATGCCTTCTAGTGGGGTGTAAATTCAAATTTTCACAAAGGGATTAAGTGGATGCATTGGGAGAAGCTTGCCACTTCCAACCTTGAGGGTGGACTTGGCTTCAAGAATTTATCTGCCTTTAACCTTACTATGCTTGGAATTTGGCAAGCAAGCTTGGAGGCTTCTTATCAGCCCAAACTCTCTTATCAGTAGAATCTATCGTGCCAAATACTATCCCAAAGGTAACTTTCTCAATGCTCCCTTGGGTCACAACCCTAACTTCATGTGGAAAAGTCTTTGGTGCACTCAACATCTTCTTAAGAATGGTATTTGTTGGACGTTAGGGAATGGAAACACCATTCTTGTTTTGGGCGAACCTTGGATCAAATACAATGACAATTACCATTGTATTCATCCTCATGACTCATCAAATAGTTACGTTTCTAATGTTTCTAATCTGATGAGTAACGACAAGCTTGGTTGAAATGTTGACTCGATTAACTCTCTATTCGATCCTGACACTAGCAACCATATTCTCAACATTCCTATCCTCAATCCATATTGCAAAGATAATTGCATCTGGAACTGGAACCTTTCTGGTTCTTGTACTGTTCATTCTGCCTATAGAGGCTATCTTCAGCATAGCCTCTCTACGAGTCATCTTAGTGTTCCTGGTCCTTGGAAAAGCGTTTAGAGTCTTCGCTTTCCCCTGATCTTGTCAATTTTAATAATATTATTAAAATCTATTTTGTTTCTATATATTAATAGTATATGTTAACACTTTTTTTTATTTGAATGAAATAAAATAATATATTTTTATTCTTCTTAATTAATAATAATGTAGTATTTTTCTTTCTTTTTTTGTTGAATTCTATATTTAAATAATTTTAATAAGTTTTCAACTTTTTAAAATAGTTTAATATCATATTTGTAATAAGATTTAAGTAAATAAATATATATAATGAGTTTATTTTAATAAAGGATATTTTTGTAAAAAATATTTATAAACCCAAGAATATACTATGGCAATCAAACATGAAAATCTTTAATTTTCAGGAATATGTATGAATATTCTTAGAAACTTTTATGAGTAACCAAACATATTTTAGTTATTCCTAGGAATCATGTTTGCTAGAATTTGTAATTTCCAGGAATCATTATTCCTTGGTATAAAAAAAATTTATCCTCTACCAAACACACCCCGTAGATTAAAATAATCGATTTAGATTAAAACTTTATATATAAAGTTATCACAAATTACTATCATCATGATATTTTTTTATATTTATTGTTGTTGTTAACTTTATTATCTTCACCTTCATCGCACCTCTACCACATTACTACTACTACCACCACTATTGTTGTCATTGTTACCGTCATCCTTATCATTATCATTATCGCCACGATTACTGCCACCATTGTCAATAATAGTGGCAACAATGGTGATGACGATGAATGTGACAGTGGCGGCTTTGATGACAATGGGGTTGGTATTGGTGGAAGTAGTGATGTGATGATAATAGTGGTGGTAGCGACAATGACAATAGTGGTGGTGGTGGTAGCAGTAGTTGTGACGATGGTGATGGTGATAGTGGTGGTGATGGTGGAAATGACAAAGACGGTGGTGGTGGTGACAACAACGATGGTGATATAATAGTAGTGCGATGGAGATGGTGATAGTTTCAATAACAAGAATGAGGGCAACAATAGTAAAGAGAACTATGATGACGACAATACATAACAACATCTTTTAATTTAAGTTGTTTATTTTAATCTAAGAGTTGTTCTTAGTTGTTATATATATATATATATATATTCACACACATGGATGGATCCGTTTACTCTTAGAGTAAATATATTTATACTTACTCTATTTAATAATTTATATTTTAAAATATCTTTCACGTGTACGATTTTCATACTTCTAAAAGTGGGATTTGTCTAAAAATTAGAAAATAAAATTAAAGGAATTTTGAAGAAAACAATAATAAAGATATATTATTAATGGAAGGAAGTATATTTTTTTAATAAAAATAGTTTTGAATGTATCAAATCATTTTAGACATTGGCACGGTTCGTGATTCTATCGTGATTTTTATTGAAGAAGAAATGCATCATGGTTGAGACTTGAGATGAGTACACTAATTAAAAAAAAACCCGAGCCTTATTTAGACTAAAGATAAAATTAAAATATATGATATGAATAAAAGAAATTCTAAAGATTTAAAAGCTAATTTTATAGAATTAAATTAAATTAAAATTTATACTTTAAAATAACATTAGTGATGCTGTAATAAAAATATTAGTTTATTATAAATCTATTAAAATAGTCATTCACAATATTATTCAGACATCAAATATAATTGTGTTGTGTGATAAAATGTTAATAAAAAAAACTTTAACTCTACTACTTTATAAGTCGATGTTATAAAAGAATTAAATTTAAAACTATATCATAATATTCACCTTGAAATATATATGGATAAAGAAGGTTGTACACGAAATAAAATATTTATCTTTTCTTATACTAGATCCGTTACCTATGTTATACTCATATTATTTTGATAACCCATGTGATATGATATTCACTAGTGGAAAAAAGGCTTTTAAAATTAGTTATTTTTAACTTTTAAAATTGGTTCCGTAACTAATTTTAAAAAAACTGATTTTAAAAGTTAGACTTTTAAAATCGGTTAAATAATCGATTTTAAAAGTTAACTTTTAAGATCGGTTGTTTTATAACCAATCTTAAAAGTCCTAGCTGCGAAAAAATTAAACTGGAACGGGCCGTTCCAAAATTGGAACAGGTCGTTCCAAGTTGTTAAAAAGGCCTAAAAAGATAGTGTGAAACGGACCATTCTAGCATAAGTTTAACCAATCCAAAACGGACATCAGAACGGACATCAAAACGGCTCGTTCTCCTTGCAGTACAGGGCGTTCTCCTTGTAGAACGGGCCGTTCCAGATTTGAAATTTACCCAAAATTGAACCTACAACGAAAATAGAAACTAGAGAAGAGCATGAGAAAACGAAAAGAGACATAAGAAGA